CACCCAGGCATCGTAACCTTCAGATGCCACGGAAGAACGTGTTGTTTTCTCACGCGTCACAGACGAGGTCAGTCTAGCATCCAGCTAGATCTAGCTAGGCCCTGTGGTGCGCCCAAAAGGACCAACAGAAAGCCGGCCATTTGGACCACTAGCCATTCAACAGAGGTTTTGCAGAACCCCGACTGTTCGACGATCCATGACTTCAGTTGCCAGGTCCTATTTACGATCACGACCCCAGCACTCCAGCACAAGCGAGCACGACTGCACGACTCTGCTGATGGCTGGGACCACCCCATCACCCCCAAAGAAAAACAATGATCAAACAAGAAAAAACAAAAAAGAAAACTTTTGAACAACACGAAAGGCCAAACCAGGATCAAAACAAACAACATGGAATCCACAAGACAATAAGAAGGAGGTAGTGTGCGCAGTCGCAGTGACTCGCAATGGGAACATAAGTAAGAAAAGAAGAGGAAGGATAACCAAAAAAAGGAAATAGCAGTAGCGTGTAGTGGTGAGTCGGTGCTGGACTAGCAGGAGGAGTAGTAGGAGCAGTAGTCGTATATAGTCGCAATTGTCATTGCCGAAGTAGTCTGTCGCAGTAGCAGTAGTAGTCGTAGTGGTAGCGGTAGCGGTAGTAGTGGCGGTGGAGAAAAATGATGGATTTCATGGCAGGCGCATTCTGTTCCATGCAAATTCATAGCGGAACCTTGCGGACCATGTATTGTCTTATTACAGTAACTATGTATTATTATGTATTATTGTCTTATTGGAGGTCCTTCCTTCTTTTCTTCCTGTTCGTTTCTGTTCTTTTCTTTCTTCTTTCCTTGTTGCTTTCCTTCCTACTTTTGGTTTCTTCTTGATCCCTTTTTGTTTTGTCGTTTTCTTTGATCCCTGTGTGTTTTTGTTGATGCCTCTCAGCCAGAGACAAGCTGGGAAAACCGCCCTATGACCCGCAACAGCACTCTTTCAAAGGAGTAAGAACTCCTAAATGCATGAACCTGTTTGGGGAACAACTACTATATATACATATAAATAGCAATTAAATAATTTTTTGTTTAGGGACATCAGCATTGGAATGCCTTCTTATAGATCTCTGACCTTACTGGTTCATACCGCCTCAAACCGCACGGCAGCATCATATCCCCGGGTGACCGGATGGGGTGACCCGGTGGGTGGCCCTGGTGCGGCTGAACCGCAAGTTCCCACATGCTTCAACCACCCAACCAAAGGCAATCTACATAATCAATAGTGTGTGTATATATAGAAATATTTAACAGTATATGCATCTTAAATATTAAATAACATTATATATATATTATAACTATAATATAAGTAATATATAGCTATAATTACTATAATTATCTGCAAAAAAGTGGAGTGACTTTTGAAGGGGTGCCCCCCCGAAGCCGCTCCGCGCGTCCAGCTCCCAGACCTCTTCATTGGTCTTCTGCGAGAGCTTGAACAAGAGGGCCGTGGCTGAGGAGGAGAGCAAAAGGCTGTCGCTTGCGAACTTGCCAGAGGTGGGCCTAGGGCGAGTGAGAGCCATGCAGTGCAGTCAGGGCGAGAGAGGGCTGTGGGCCTCATTAGTTCTTCTGGGTTGAAGCTGGTGGCAAACACATGCCGAAAAAGCGGACGGTGAGCTGGGTGTAACCCACGAGCTCCACCCAGCAACATAAGTCAGTTGAGGACACACCAAATTTTGGTGGAAAAGCTGTGTCAAACCAACCAGGCAAGGCCTTCAGACTCCCAAAATGCAGGGTGGCCAATCCTTCCAATATTCACTCTGATCTGCGGCCACAATCACATGCCGGAGTACAGGGCAACACTCTGAAAGACCTCTGACTGAGCCAAAAACGTCTGCGCACAAGCCAAGCGTGAAGATTCATCCGACAGTCAGCTGGAAGAAACAGCGGGACCATCTGGGACACTATACTATACCAAAACACAAACTCAATCCATCTTGAACCAATCCGTGGTGGTCTCTGCAGGTGGAGATGAACATGAATGACACAATGCCTCACATTCAGCAAGCGGGGACTTTCGACAAAGGACATCACGGTGATCCATTGGTCATCACGAGTACAGTGTAACTTCCCTACATAGATCAGGAATTCTTTGCAGGTCTTGGGCTCCTTTATGGTGAAGAAGTGAAGAACTGCCGCCCCTACTAGTAGCACAGTGGCGTGCCCTCCTGCCCTCCTAGCTGCAGCTAGATTGACAAACAATGACACTCAAACAGAAAGTCACCCATCCGATTCAAGTGTATCGGAAATTTGTTCCATTGGTTTGGATACTTTCCATGGGTTTCCATCTTTTGGCTTCAGCCCCAAATGCCAAGATTCCCCTTCGCACAGGCGGAACAAACATCTCGCAGCACTCCATTGAGGGTGGCCCGACGGGAGTAGCCTGCGCGGTCTGAATCAGGTGTTGTGAAACTGGTTGTCCGGGATAGTGGTGTGTATATGTCATGTTCTGTTCTCCCTGTTCCTCACATAGATAGTCACAATGTTTCCACATAGACGGTTCAATGTTTTATTCATTTGGGGGCCGTCATGATCAGCATTGCTTGCACCAGAGCAAGGTAACGACTGAAGCAGTGAACTCGTCCTCAGCCGATGTAAGCTTCATGCTCATACTCAGCTTGTCGGCCAACGAAGAGCATCAGCTCTAAGACTACACCAAACCCACCATGACTACACCAAACCCACCATGGTTCTGGACAAATCGAATCTTAGGAGATTGTATTCACATGCGCCATACGCAATAGGAAAAAAAAATATATATATATATACACATGTTGTTGGGATTAGCGGGGTTGCCTTGATGCCCTGAGATTGTTTACTGACTAGGCACAGCACTTGCCAGTGTCCATGGAATATCTGGGCAAGGTCTCTGACAAAGGGTCCATCTCAAGTTTTAGGTACTGTAAGTCCTTGTCACTTCGTCACTGGGATTTATTTTTTTGCGACAGGTTTGTACTTCAGAAAACTGGGGCAATTCTTTATGACATTCTAAGGAAACACATCGATGAGACACACAAGGAACTTATGCAGCAGGACGGCTGTTTGAACCACCAAGCGTGCATTGAATCCCCTGGATGAGTTTTCACCACTTGCGAGTCCACACCGACTTGCTCGCACCTTTGAATCGCTCCTGGTAGTCCACCGAAGGTTTCTGGGTAAGTCGAGATCGAGTGAATACCCACAAATACTGCCCAGTTCTCCCAGCTCAAGCCGGGTCCACTGCCACTTTGGCATGGAAAATGATGTGAGCGGCCTTTGGGATTCTTTGGCCCTTTGGCCTTTGCCCTAAAAACAACTAGTGGCTTTATTGTTCCTAGTAGCGATGCCAGGAGCCCCTGGTAGCGTCCTTACTCGTAGTAGTAAGGCCAGGAGCCCCCGTTCGTAGCGAACCTTTTTCCCATGCAGCTGAGAGTGCAACCTGTGGGGCCCCACCGTGGGATTCTTATGGATTCTTCATTCGAAAAAACTGAGGGTGATGGACAACACCCATTTCGGCGCGCGTATGGCCTGCAGCACAATCGGCGATCATGGGTGAGGAGATGAGTCGAGGGAGATGAGTCGAGTGTGTCGAAGCAAATCCGAAAACGATCGAAAAACACGCGAGATCACCTTTGCATCATGTGGTTTGCCCCGGATATGAGGAAAAAGACCGACTCCCTCGCTGAATGCGGCTGGCCACCGACTGCATTTGAGCCGAAAAGGAGACCACCAACCACACAGCAAACAGCATGGCCACACATCATGATCTGTTTAGCCAGTATACTTCAACTTTGGCCAGCAAGCTCATCTTCCTTACAGATTTACCCATCAACAGTCAACATCTTATTTGTATACAATAAGAGGTCAAGGTCCAGTGTTTCAAGGATTGTACCCTCTCACCGGGTCCAGGACTGCACAGGTGGGGGCCCAGCAATATGCCTTTCCTTCCAGTTCTCCTCATACTCTGAAGCCGATGGATTGAACCAACCACTCGTGAAGACATGCAACCTTCAACATCTCCCACAACCTCAGTGAAAACATCAAGAATGCTGTGAAGCATGAAGAGTTCACTGAAAACCCTGCCCCACCCCCGTGGTAGGTGCCATCTTTTTAGTCCAAGCAATATCGAGCAACCCTACTAAAAGTTTTTTTGGGAAGGAGCAGTCATGCACCTGCCACGATGTGTAATCTTCTTGTCCAAAAACCTGTCCAAGGACATGTTGTCCGATGGTTTTCCTGAGAAATGGTTCTTCAAAGATCAATGCAATCGAAAGAACAAGAACAATGGCGCCAGAACTCATAATATGATGCTGCATATTTCATGACGCCATATCTCCGGTCTTGTCAAGCTCTATGTTAGTCTTCATTATTGTCGGGGTGCAATAGGGCATTCTCTTGTGACCCGCTCCTCCCTTGGCGTCGCAAGACTGAGGCACAATCGGTGCGCTCCCACCGTCACCGCGCTTGGCAAATCAAAAATGGGAGATCGGCTCGGCCAGGAGATCATCTCAACCCCAAAGAGATGAGACTTCGAAGTCTTCAAGTCCCAAAGAGATGGGTCGCCAAATAGAAACGGTGATTCACTTGTCCAGCTGCTAAATAAGTTGCATAATGGGTGATATGTTACAGAAACATGGAAAACTGTATAAGTATAATATAACTGTTAAGCTACAGTTTGTGTCCTTGTGCCGTATGTGTCAAAGTGAAGTCCTTCGGCTTCAAGCAACTGTTCGTGGCCTGAAAATGACAGCTTACCTTGAATATTCAAGTAATAGTCGAAGGATTAAAGCCATCGAGCCCCTGAAAGACCAAAAAAAGGGTTCGCTGATGGGACAAACTGGGCCAGCAGCAGCCACACCCCTAACCTATTTGGCATGCACAAAGGTGCTAAATAATCTAAATAAGTTGTTGACCCACCTGCCCCGCACAACCGCCTATCCATGCCTTGAGGGCAACAAATCCCACCTAGCATAGACCAAACATGATCAAACATGTGCGAAGGATAGATCGAAAATGATCGAAGTACGGTACTACGTGGACCTTTAAGGCTCCGCGGTGTGGGGGCTCCGCGAGCGACCGTGCTCGTCCGGTCGCCCAAAGAATGGGTCGACGCTGAGCGACGGTCGAGCGACCGTGGTGGCTTCAGGCTTCAGCGGCCAAAAGCCTCGGTGCCGAAGTCGTCCGACGTCAAAGGATCAAAGCACACAAGAGCTAACAACACCACAACCCCCCTCCCTACTTTTCGTGTCGCACGTGTTGCCGAGGCGGCTGCGTTAGATCATCACCAGCTCTGGGAACTTCATCGTGACTTCCATGGCGGAGAGGGAGTCGCCCTCCTCGGGACCGATCGATGGGTGGGATGCCCACGGCTTCGCCGGGAACCCGCGCGCATCGGGGGAATGGCGCACGAACGGCTCGCAATATCAGGCGGAGGGGGAGCTGAAATAAGCTAAAAGCTGACACCGGAAGACAGCTTAGATTGAAAATGGTTAACTATAATGATACCGATCTGAATCTGAATCTAAACCAAAGATTTAAAGGATCTATAATCTATATATATATATATATCCAGGTGTTCAGAGCAACCTCTTTTTGTCGGGCACGTAAACCAGTCTGGTGTTTGAAGGGTAGCTTCCTAATGGTCCTTCAGACGGCTATGTCCTCCATGCTGGCCTTTATATCATGCAATGTGAACTGTTGAGCAGCCATCGCTGAATCAACTACCCAGAATGCAGCAAACGTCGCATACCTGGCGACCATTGCGGTGTGCCCAGTCACAACGGTTGACATCATCCGCTCACGCCAGACATCCTCCCCGCCCAACGGAGAAGAAGGCCTCCTCAGGGATCCACTGGACGTCCAGCTGTAGCAGCTCATCCTGAACGAAGTCATTGGGGATGAACCAGTGGAGAACCTCGGGGCCCTTTTACATGGTTGGCTCATGATGGTTCTCCATGTTCTCTCTCTCTCTCTCTGCCCTGGTGAGATAGCACAATTTTGGTGATAGAAAGTGTCTGGACACTCCTAGCACAGGTGGTGTGGTATGACTCGAATTGGTTTGACTTTTTTTTCAGGGGCAGTCTTTGGGGCATTGGTGAGTAGAACCATCGAGAACACTGCCACTCATTGCTTACAAGAACTCATGATGGCGGAATCCTCTTGGTCGTGCCAATGGGACAGGGGACCTCCATTTGCAACTTTAGATTCTTGTTCCCTTTAGATCTCTGCGGGCACCAGGTTGATTCAATGGGACCTGGATGTGGTTGGGCGCTGTCAGTGATTACAGTAAAATGATGATTACCCCCCTGATTGGTCCACTGTTGTTGTTGTTGCTGTTGGTGGTGGTGGTGCTAGAACCACAAACAGCCGCCCAACATGGTTGTCACATGTTGCAACTCTGGAACTTCAAGGGAGCAAGGTTAGGGATACGGTAAAATGGTTGGAGGTTTGGCGGAATGTTGGCTTCCCGAGTAGTTGGGCTTACTTGTTGGACAATGTTGGACTTATTTCACTGAATGGTTTGTTTTAGTGTTTTTGAGGTGGTGTTCTGGTCTTTGCTTCTAGCAGGGGGTAGGGACAACAACTCCTTTTGAGAGGGAGGTGCAAAAACAACCACGGGGCTCCAGTGATTGTTTCTAGGATGTGGTAGAAATTCCCATAGATAGTAGATGATAGTAGTAGTCCTCGTCGTGGCCGCGGTTGCGGTAGTTGTCGTACAAGCAGCAGCAGCAGCAGCAGTACTAGTAGTAGTTGGTTACGACATAGTGGCACTACTCATCCCACTAGTACTACTAGACTACTTACCACCATTGCTCCTAATACTACTGCTACTACTACTACTACCACCACCACCAGTGCTGTGCTGGCTTGTCGTTTTGGAGGGGGGTCCACACAAAGCTGCAGGGCTGTGGTTATTGATTCTAGGAGAGGGTAGGGACAAAGGAAGATGTGTGTTGAGGGCTGCCATTTTTTGCTTGTCTTTGTCCTTGTCCTTGTCCTTGTCCATGTCCTTGTCCTTGTGGTTGTTGTTGTTGTTGTTGCTGCTGTTGTTGTTGTTGTAACTTGAGAGGAGGGAGACACGAAAGGTAGGACAGCGGGAAGAGAAGAGAACGCGAGAGGCAGGAACAAAAATGCAATGTTCGACATGGTGATTTATCCCCTCGGAGGCGACCTTTCGTAAATATATGTTCATATGCACTCTAAATGTTCAAACATATGCTCTCGAAATGTTCAAAAAGATTCTTAGGAAAACAAACTTGCCCCATGGCTCAGATCATCGGTGAGCAGTGAATCGGAACATCATAGGATTTGAACTATCCTGAAACCATAAGAGGCTCACGAAGACGCTCCCCAGGAGAGAATTGACGTGCTTCACAAAACAAACTCTAGGTGTGTATCCCCTCGGGGAACACCTTTCGTGATTAGAATTTCATATTCACTCTTTCTGAATGTTCAAGAGGGTTTCAACTATCCTGAAATCATGAGAGGCTCACGAAGACGTTCTCCAGGAGAGAATTGATTTTAGAGGGGGGGAGGGGGGGGGGGTCTGAATTGAGCGATCAATTATTAGACCCGGACGTCCCAACACTTGCTTCGCAAGACAAACTCAAGGTATCCCCTAAAGGGCTACCTTTCGTGATTATTGATGTTGCTGTCGCTGGTGTTGTTGTCGCTGCTTGAGCAAGATAAGTTAGTCACTCTGGGTGTCTTGAAGCCTCACCCAGCCAAAGGTGCAGGATCTGCTTGTTGTTGGAGGTGAGCCCTGCTCCCAAATGGGTGAATTCTTGAATTTACGCAAATGAAATCCAAAAAAAACAAGAAATGCCACTCACCTAGCCCAATCAACGTTCGCATGCCCAGTTTAAACCTGTATATATAATATATATATATATAGCTCGAACAATGCCAGCCTGCTCATGAACATGACGTTCCGCCCAGCACTGGAGAATCTGACACTTCCCTGGCTACTGGACCTGCTGCCCAGATCTCGCTCGCATTCCACCCGCTGGCCTCCTGGACCTCGCTGATTGCACCCAGGATCTTCTTCACATCGGCGGCCGAGCGGATCTTGTCCTCCTTCTCCTGGCGGACTGGCGAAAATACGGCCAGTCTGTAGCTGCATGATGGTGATGATGATGACGATGATGGTGATGATGATGATGATGATGGTGATGGTGATGGTGATGATTTTTATTATCGTTATTGTTTCTTATATCATAGTCATAATGTCATAATGGCCTTTAAAAGGGACCACGTGAAAACGATGACACACGATGAAGGCCATGTTCCTTGCTAGATTGGGGCAGTCCCGGACTGGAAAAAAATGACCGAACATGTCGCTCGTAGATGTTTGCCTAGCTTTGACCCATCGCCACACAAATAGCTCTTGCAAATGAGATGGCTGGAAAGGAGGTGATAGAATTGCAATTGGGTGCATGAAATTGTACAATCTTATTACATACAGTCATACATATATATATAATTAACCATAATTATGTATATATGTTTTTATATAGTAGTGTGCCTAACCTACCTGCCGGGTCACCCTACCAATGAGCCTCAAGGATGGCGCCATAGCAGCTGATCATGAGCGTCACCACTACATACTCCGTCATGCGCTTCTCCTTCTCCTCTCTGAGAAAAGTTTTGCTGTACGAAGGGAGCCCAGCGTTGGGTTGGCGTACGTGACTCAGTGCTGGTCACGGCTTCGCAGCCATCGATATTGATCTTGGTTTTATGATCGGATGACAGCTGGGAAATAGGAGGGGCACGCAGTTGGAAATGCGAGCCGTTCGATATGCGTTCCGTTATAATATGGGAGGCTCCTGAACTGGAATACTATGATAATTAAGGAAGGAAGCGTCTTTTTGGCCAAGGATGTTTTTGCTGTGTGAGCTGTGAGCCTCCGTGAAATGAGACTGGTCATTTCTGATGCATCTTGATCCAGACTTGGTTCGTACAGCTGGCTTGGTGGGCACACCGCTATGAAGAGCATATTCAACAGTGAAGCAACACAGGTGCACCACCTTGCAACGACTTCAATGACGACTGTGACATCAATGCATACATGGGGATGGATAAAAACCTTAGCTTGACCTTCCGGTGAATCTTGATTACTCGCATGCTATCATTTCAGAAAGAAACTTCGAGCTGCATGGAACAAAGGACAGTCACTTCACACACTCACACACCACCCTCGGCACCTATATAATTAGTTATAATTAGTTCATATTAGTTCGTTTCGATTAGACTCGACACGTTTTCGGAACATTTAATTCGTGTGAATCGTGACCGCTCGGAACGTATTCAACGGTGTACAGACCATTTTGGAGTATATACCTCACTCATCCTCACTCCCAGATACCCGGTGAAACCGAAGGGTCATGGGAAGCGCCTCCTCAGACAGAGTCCGCAAGTATCGTTGGCTGGTCAACCCAGGTATCCTGGTTTTGACCCGCAGCCACATACAGTATACAAAAAAATCCTGGACGCTGGGACGGCTCAGAAGCAGTGTTTGTTGCATGAAAGCCGCACGAGCTCCCACAACCCCTTCCCAACCGATTTGAGGCCTTCTCCCAGTCGCCATCACCCCACTTCTCTTGTGCCTGGAGTGGCCAACCAGGCATTTAGGCAGGTGCCCTTGGATTGTGACTTTGGAACCAAAATGCCCTTCGTTGGGAGGTCTCGATCTTCGGTCCTTGGCGAAGCAGTGTTGTACACCAGTCGCTGCTAACTGGCTAGTCGCTTCAAGTCCTCCAAAATATACTGACCCTGTCTGGACGATGCCTTCTTGGAGAGCAGGAGGTTGGTTGCCCTAACAGCCCGAACTTCGAAAGACTGGCCAAAGGACCCAGGAATCTTGGTTTTCATCCCAAGGCGCCCAAAATCATGGATAATTACAGTAACAGCAGCCACTTTCGACATCCAAGTGCAAGTGCATTTAGAGTCGGTTCCAAGTTCCACCAGTTCCGTGGGGTCAGGTCCTGCAGGTGGGGAGTTCAAACCGGCTTTCGGTTCAAAATGTTCAAACCAGTGCCTCCAGGCCCCACCGCTGCAACTTGCCGGCCGCTGCTCGACCCTCATCTTCGGCGTCGAAGAGCAGCTGCACGCCTCGAGCCGCGGAGACGCTTCGTTCGCGATGCCAGCCCCGTTCGGAGCGTCCGATCGCTCTTAGTCGTAAGGCGTCCGATCGCCCCGGTAGGAAAGCTTCTTGGTTCCTAGTAAGAATGCGGCCGTTTGGCCGGAATCCTTTCTGCAAAAGGATGAACCCTGGACGAACCTGTCTGGTGAACTGCCAAGAATCATAGTGAACCACCCTGAACTAGAAACAAAACATCATGGAATCATGGACGTTCCTTCTTCACTTGGACATACCCAAAATTGGTGCAAGCAAAGCCTCCACAGATCAGAGGGGCTCCAAGTTTTGCATCAAACCTGCGGGTCAAAGTTTCCACTTCCATGTTAGTGACTGGGAGTGCATTCTTCCTTTGGCCAAGTTCTGTGCGCCAAGGGATGCTCGAGGTGATTTTCCAGGTTGAGGACCGACTTTCATGCAGTTGGTCCAGATTACAACTAAAAATAAATGGCATGTATAGCACAGAATCATACAAAATCGAAGAAAAGAACACTGCAACTCTTCAAACCCAATAAAGTGTAAAAGAACACATGTCAAAAATATGTAAATATATCAAGTACTTTACACAGAAATCTAATGAAATCTATAATGCCAGAGATCTACCACCCTCGCAAACCACATTATGGTGGGCCATTCCCTTCCGGAGAGCGGCAATCCGCATAGCGCCAGGTCGTCTCGGAGCGCTTGAGGGCCAAAACCACGTCCAACATCAGCTGGTGGAGTCCCGCATCCTGGTGGAGTCCCGCACCCAAACAGCAAATGGGACTGAACAAAATCGTCTTGGTTTAAAGGCTTGCAAAGTCCAACGCCCAAAACCTGGCAGTCATTGACTTGATTATTTGAGCCTGAAATGTTAGCCACAAGCCTTTGGGTAAACTTGAGCCGTTGGAAGCGTCTCATAATTATGTTCTTCCGCCTGCAGCCCCTCTCACGGACTGCAGCTTGTGATTGATTGTGAGTGCTAGTGTCTAGAGCTGGGATTGGTATGTCATGGGCCTCAATTAGGCAGGACACCCCTCGAACAATAGGATGTTGAACTACAATATGTCAAACTGGAAAACAATAAATTAAGAATAAGTTATCCCTAAGAACCAGTTTCAGAATGAAATACTGATCGAATGCTGCTCCACACAAAGCCTAGCCTAGCTTCGCCAATATTCAATATTCTTTGCAATCCGGTTCGCAAAAATGAACGGCAGAGCAGGAACAAATCCATGACCCATGTTAATTCGGATAAAAAAGACAAGGGCAGTCTGAAAACGATTGAACAATCAATAAATGGTTCTGGCAAGACTCTGAAGACGTGTCGGCCCCATCTGCCAGTTTGTTGAGCGTTGTCAGCATGTTCCTGAGCGACATGCCAAGTTCTGAGCAAAATATATCAACATATATTATGTACACCCACGAAACTTAACATGGAACCATGGAACCTGAAAACCACTAGGTTGTAGAGGGAAATAGTCTTCCAAAGGTTCACTTTGAGGTTCCATGTTAATTTTCCCGGGTGTATAATATATAGACTTCCAGAATGCGGGTGCGCTAACACTTAGTGCCCTCCCCTGGGGGCCAAACAGCCCGATGCTTCTTGCAAGTTTGGAACCTCCCGGGACAAGCCCACAGCCCCAAGGCCCGAAGGGATGGTAGCAAAGTAATAAGATGTAATGAGCATTCCTGCCTGAAGAAACACTTGTTCACCCTCCTTGACAGCAATGCCGATCTTCTATGATTCACAGAGTTCGGATGGTGCCACAAAAATAAGCCTCAAATGTGTTGCAGCTTATGTCACATCCAACAAGCCTGATACAAATGTGTCATCTCTCGAAACCGATCCTGATGTCCTTGGGCCTAAGTCGCTGTTGATACACCTGAGCGGTGCCTTTTCTGCTGACAGATGTGCTTCTGGAAAAGCCTTGATGAGTGGATGTACTGTCACATGTACACCAATCACCCTATGCCTATGCGGTTCTTCGCCAAAACAAGGACAAAGGCAGCTTGCAAATGAACGATCGTCCTGCGTAATCAATGGCCCCACAAGCGGCCCCTCCCTTTGTCCATCCCTCCACGCCAAGTTTCTTCGAGAATTGCATGCCCAGCTGGAGTTTCAGGGCAGTGCACTTGGCATACCTGAGCCACTGCTGGCTTTTTGCCGCAGATGGACGGCGTTTTTGCCCATTTTGGCCGTCCATCCCGTCAGGTTACCGTGGCTTCGGGACTGCAGGGGAATCATGGCAACATCGTCACCCAACGGTTTCAACAGCATGTTCGGTTGGTTCTGCCCCGCCTTGAACCAGCCCAAAACACGATGGCACGCAGAAGCAGAAACTTTGCTGTTTCCCCACATTTGCGGTGATCTTGCTTTGTACAATCATATACAATCGATCTTTGCCCAAATTGATAAGTTCGGGTGCAGAACCTTGAACTCGTTTGAAATTGCAATGGCAACCTCACCGCTGTCAATCATCTGCTGGAGTTCTCAACCACGAAGTCTGAACGAACTCTGATGGAGTGGGGTCTTCAGCACATGTATGACATGAAGCCCTAGTCGTCAAAGACCAAAAAATAGGTTGACCAGGGTTGGTAGTCATTTTGTAATCTGAAACCCTAAGAATAGACAGGTGTAGACCAATGGTTCTGCTGGGAACTGAAACCAATGGCTCTTGGAAGCTTAGGGGAACGGTACGACCACCTGGTCGTAACCGAAACCGGTTGGATGGACCGTGTCTTCGCCTTCCACGTTCGGCCGCAGGTTCGGTCAAAGCGTGTCCGTCTCGCTGCACAGCTTGGACACAGCCAGTGTGGCGGTTTCCGGGCCATCGGACAATGAATAGACAAGCTCGCTGAGACGCGGATGCGCAGTCCCATGTTCCCAGCTCTCGACGGCAATGGCTCAATATGTAAGAGAATGAGCAAAGGCTAAGCCAAATGCTCAACAATTTTTTCTACAACATCCAGTTCTCACAATGATCACTGATAATTATCTGATAAGGAGCGCGGAGAAAGAACAGCTGCCCAAAAAAAAACATCCTTCAATTCGAACATGTTCGTATACAGATCAAGCACCCGTCATAAATGCTACAGTTCCTGGGGGGTCAACCGCAAATTGTCCCATACGTTCACACCTAACAAGAACTGGCCCGCCCCGTTTCACACATGGTCTTCAGCCCAAGTGTCGGATCTTCTTCCTCCCAGGGCCACGCCCTCCTTGCCACGCGGCCCTCTCGGCAGGTGGGCAGTCCATGGCGAGGCCGGAGGCCCCGCAGGCCCCCGCAGGCCAGGACAGCCGCAGCCAGGCAAATGGCAAGTGGCCTTGCAATAATGTGTGATCATTGATCCCGTTCAGCGACAGTAGATGTATGTCTGCGCAAAAGGAGGGGGGGCGAGAGAGAGAGAGAGAGAGAGAGCAAGAGCGAGAAGGTCCGGTCCGCAACTGGGCACCATGGATGAAAGGATAATCGCTATTTATATAAGACAAAATTTTGGAAAAGACTCCAAAGCCAAAACTCCAAAGTTTGATCATCATTTTGGGCCCAACGAATCTCAATGAACCGATGCTGAACATGTCCTGGGGTAATTAATCTGTAAACACAACTTATCTCTACAAGGTGGTTGCACAGCAGAAGTCACACAGAACTAGTACACTCCTGAGTTGTTGACTGATACAAGTATGGATATCATCGGCCAGCCGATGTACATGCACACTCTAGCTCTTCGCCTTTTCTACGCCAGCTGCAGCGTTGCTCTGGTTCAGCAACTGCAGAACCTGCCTGCGATGAGCGCCATCTTCATTCTCATCATCCGCCAACGCCATCTCCCCGTCATCCTCATCATCGTCAGCAGCGCCGCCAACACCACAGCGCTTGGACAGGCGCTTCAAGCCAGGCGTCCCCTTGTCGCTGCCGACAACTCCACGTTCCTGCGCAGGCGCCTTGAGCATTGCACTTTTCTGCAGCAAGGGCACACGAGACATGTTTTTGAAGGCAGCATTGCCAGGGACAACTCGTCTCGCAGTGGCTTACGGTCCTTCCACTTGCCCGGCGTCTTGATGACATGGAAGTAAGTGTCCTTCGGGTCGATGCTGCCTACACTAAAGCGGTTCTCGCCATGCACTGCTTGCAGGTAGACTTGCTCATCCGGCTCCATCACAAGCTCCTTGGTTCCAAGCTTTGGCCTGCGAGTTTGCAAGACCTTGACATCCTTGGCAACCATGTTGTTCTTCCATGTTCTTCCCAGGGGTGAAAGGCGCAGCGTCAGGCTCGCCCGTGAGCCGCGTGGTGATGTCGGCATTCTGCATCCGGTCTTCATCTGCTGACGCCTTCATTCTGTAGGAGCTCATCTTGGCAGGTAGGTCTTTGGTAGCGTCCAAGCCGGCATTCCACACCAGCTTTGCCGCCCAATCTTTAGCACCTTGTGTCCCCAATGCACCATGAAGCAGCTCTTGTTCAGGAACTCCTTGGCCATATTGCTGATCTCACTCTGCTTCTTTTTGGCGAAGACAGACTCCTGCTCTTTTGCCTCCTCTTGTATGACTGGGGTGGCCATATCAGAACTTCCTGGAGCTGGTGTTGTTGTGAGTGGGAGCTTCGGGCTCACGCGCCCTCTGCTGCACACTCTTGACTGTAGAGGAGCTCCAGTTCTGGCAGGATCGTCTTGATGAAGCCAACTCCCAGTGGAGCGCCGCCTCCCGCAAGAGAACTGTGCTTTTTATAGTGTAAAGTGGCGCATGAGTTTCTCCAATGACTCTGCTGCAAAGACTGGCAGCTCCACACAGTCATCGAACCATGCCAGAAGTATATTTCTGATGAAAGCTCGTCAAAATCTTGAGGTGATGGAGAAGCGGGTCATATGTGGGGAAGCGCGGGGCCAGGGCTTGCGGGACCTTGTGGCCAAACCTGCAACCCGCCAGTGAGATAGTCTGTCGGAGCGCGAGCACACGCAAGGCCTCAAATGCAATCCTGAGGTCATACAAACTGGGCTTGCGGACCGTGTGGTATGTGGGGAAGCAAAATGTGAAACGCGCGTTTTAAAAGAATCTTACCACCTGCCTTTGCCAACTTTAAGCAAATGGTTGGCAATCTCGTCTACAACTCCTGCGGGAGCGAGCATGCAGCCAATCGATTGCAAATAGTTCTAACCCTCGGCCACTTTTCTGTCACAGAACCCACAAACTCTTCCCTCAAGGACTTGCAACAAGAACCAATGTGCTCGAAGGCCTCGTTGCTGAAAAGGCTTTTCACGGCATGCTTGACGCACGCTCGCGATGAATTCGTCTACCACCGCTTGTGGATGCTCTATCTGCCAGGCCCTGTGTAAATCCAGAGTTGGCAACATAGGTCCAAAACCAGAACGATTCCAGGTCCGGGTCGGGTGGGTCCTCGATATGGTAGCGGCCATTGTCAATGGCAGCTTTCATGGACTGTGCGATCTCTTCTGCCGAGGCTTTGTCGTGGCAGGCGGGTGTGTTCCAGTCTCAGAAACCTGACATCTCTTCCACCCTTTTGAAAATGAAATCTTGCAGGAGACGAATGATGATGGGCAGAACCAGCCCACAGGAAACAAAGGTGCTACAATGCAACGTGCTCTGTTGGGGACGCATCCGATGGCGTTGAGCCTGACCGAGGAGTGAGGCCTTTGGCCCTCTCCTGGACGACTGTCGATTTCTTGGCCACTTCAACTTTGTCCTGCAAGATTTTGGGCAGGTTGCTGCAACCATGCCAATCCGCAATTGAGCTCTATCACGGACACGCCTTTGCCCAAAGCTCAGCGATCAACACACAAAAACGAAGGCAAACTTGCTTGCATCCAAGGTTGGCGGAATATCTTCCAAGGACGCGCGGTCCACGAGGAAAGGAGCACATGGGTGGAGTCTGCAGAAGCTTCTGGCGATCTTCTACATAGTAGGCACTCTTCAGCAAAGTTGATTGTACTGCTTTGGCTTTCCAAGGCCAGTGCATATTCGTGTTGATGCGTGCATCTGGCCCGCCACAATAGAGCTTTATCAACTCGTCGTCTGATGCCTCCTCCGTTTGTCCCCAGGCAAGCCACTTACCTTCCTTGCCTCCAATTGGCGAACTTGCGCTCTAAGAGCACCACACTTAGCTTTCCAAGACTGTCTTTGCCTCGACCAGGATGATCTCACCAAATGATTCCTAGCTGAAGAAAAGAATCAGAAACTTTGGCATTCGCATGTATACTGTTATACTATCAGGAGTATTTGTATCAGTTCTATGAGACTTCTGCTGTGCTATCATCTTGTAGAGATAGACTTCATTGTATTTACAAACTGCATCAGGACATGTCCAGCATACTAGCGCTAGGGTTTAGTCACCCGGGTTTGCAGAAAGTCACCCGGCCGCATGGAAACGCAGCATTAGTCAAAAGTCACCCGGCTCGCGAAAAGTCACCCGGTTTATGTTAAAACACAATGTAAACGCTCTACGGAAGCATGTTTGTCAAAACTGCTATACATCAAGAATTCACTGCCCCTGTGCAGGAAAGAACTAGTTTGATGTCGAAGTTTGCAGCGTTTTGGTGACCAAACCCCAATCAGAACGCAAGGTTAGGACTATGGTGAAGATTACCCCCTAAACATAGATGCAGCATGCTGCCCTGCTTGCTTTGCTCTTCAAGAGCTGTGCATTAATGACCTTCATGTGGAAAAGATCACTAAAGGAAACATGGTGAGGCTGGCGCGAGTGCCACGCGAGTCTTTTCGACCCTGTCGCGAGTGCCGCGCGAGTCCCATGCAACCATGTACCCACGCCCCATGTACTCACGCCCCATGTACCTAATGGTGTTGAACTGACGCTCCAAAGCTTATCTTCCAATGAGGGTGACATCTTGCATCTAACCCCAATGGAAACGCAGCATCCAAACAATGTTGTTGACCTAATGCTC